GACTCCCGCCTCCCAGTGCCCAGACTGCCACCACAACCACTTACACATCTATAGGGCTTCCAGTGCCCGGACTGCCACCACAACCACTTATACATCTATAAGGCTCCCGCCTCCCAGTGCCAGGACTGCCACAACAAACACTTATACATCTATAGGGCTCCCGCCTCCCAGTGCCTGGACTGCCACCAAAACCACTTACGCATCTACACATCAGCAGAATTAACTTTTAGTAAAAAAAGATAAAGGAATTAAAAGGGGGATGGCTCTAAGAAAATATAAAACGTTAGGAAGGAGAGTCATTTTCACCAAAATAAGACCTACCTAGTCTGAAATTTCAAGACTACCCCACCTCTCAAGATCATTCCTAAAATTGGACCAGATCTTACCTAGGTTACAAGAATGCATCTTGGACATGTTCTTGCATAGGTTAATGACCAGGAGATATGAGTCTCTCCAGGCGAAGTCATACCAGTAACCTTTCACAATATCAAAGTCATACCATGGTATGAAAAAAGAGAGCACTTGAGTCTTGGCAGTATTCATTCTGTAGAAAACAATTTTGCCAAATTCCTGCAGGATCAACATCAACCAAGTAAGAGAATTCATTGGATTTTTAAGCGATAACCTAATGTAGTCCACAAAAAGGCCTATTTTATGTTCCTTTCCCCATTACCGCAATACCTTTGATATCTATGAACATATCATCTCAGCCAGGGATTCCATTGTCAGCACAAACAGGAGTGGGGAAAATGGATCTGGGATGCCCAGTATCCCTGTGATTCAGGTGTGAAGAATATGGTTCCTTCCACATCTACCTGACCAACATATTCAGATGTAAGGTCCATTAAATCCCCAATCTCTGGTACCTGCTGCTGTGCAGAGTCAAACAATTTCCTGTAACCCAGTTCAAGCTCCCACTCCATGGTGGCCAAATGGGTCAAATTAGGTTCCAGGTCAGTTGCTCTTGAGAGATCCAGTAGGTGTTTTTTTCCCAAATGTCATAAAGCCGGAACCTCTCAGGAATTCAATTTTATCCTCAAAGGCCTACCACGATAGGCCAGGGCCATCGTAGCCCTTACCCTCTGGAGGGTTGTCATCCTCTAGAAATGGGTAATGCTGGAATGCATACCACCTTAAGAATCATCCAGTATTACGTCTTCCACGTATTTGACGGGAGGAGTCCAAGAAGCAGCCAAGGCGAAGTACCAAAGGGAAAACCAAATTCATAGTCAAGGAAAGCCAGGGGTCAGTTCAGGCGGTACGGGTTCAGAGATGATAAACAGTTAGGGGTCAGATACCAGATAAATCAGATAAGGCAAGTTAGGCACCCTGAAGTTGACACCACAGTAAGCACAGTAGAACTGAGCAATAAGGTAGAGGTAGACTGCGATTATATAGGGGAGAGGTATCTATCTCTCACATTCTATTGGTTAGAAGGTTATTAGTCCTTTAAACCACTTCAGCTGTACTGTACCCTTTTAGAGGTCGGTGTTCGGGTGAGCATGCGCCAAGTAGAGAATCACATGTGGCTTAAAATGGAATCCCCCGCAGGTCCCGGCGTGGTGTGGAGAGCCGTGGCACAGCATCCACGTGGCATCCAACCACATTCTTTTTGGACCAGCTCCTCTAATGGGAAAATGGGAAAACCATTCCGCCAGGGGCTTCTCTTCCAAGAATTGCATCCGCAAATTCACTTGATTCCAAAATCATTTGTTGGGAGGGGTTTCCTTTGGAGGACAAAGGACATTGTTCCAGCATACCCGTCTGATCGTGTCCCACCGGTCAAGTTCACCCTCTGTCAAGAAAAAGCCATCATACTGGGACAAAGCTGCTTCAGCTGGAACTCCTCGTCGGATGGGGGCACTGTACGGGTGCTAGCGCTATCCATCTTGGCAAATTTCAGAAGGCATGCTGTGAGGATATGTATGGGGTGATAAATATTAAAAATAATATTTTCATAAAAATTAATTTAATCATTTTTATTATATGAAAATTTATATCTTGGCACTGTTACCCCGATTAATGATTTAAAGCGGAGAATTACCCACTATTTTAATTCTCATAGATCCTAGAGTAAGTTTCATTAGAAGATTTTATCTCACACATTAATCACAAATTAATTATAAAAATATAATTTATTGTGACAATAATAATAATAATAATAATATGTAACATGTATGGTAATATCAGTGAATATTTATAGGTCTAACATAAGTATACAATATGGCAGTGGTTTAACACAATTACAGACAGCTTAATAGCACAGTTGTATCGAAGTGTATGCTGTTTTCAACAAGATTTACGATAGGACACTTTACCTTGAAATCAACTTAGCACAGAACACAGCATCTCACAGCAGCACAGCTGCTAACGAATCATGACTCCTTAAATGTTGGAATCACCAGCTTTTATCTAAGTATATTCTGCATTTTAGTAAAATCTATTAATTTAATTTGATTAAATTAAATAAAACCAGCAAAATTACCAGTTAGGTTGTAGGTTCAGATGTGTAGATATGTCCAAGGAATTTTGAATGCAAGTATGATGAGAGAATTGTATGAAAGTAGAAAAGTTTTCAGAGTTCTGAAGTTGTGTTAGTTGGAAAAGATTCAAAGAATTAGGTGTGTCCAGCTTTGGCTCCAGATAGGACCAATAGGGAACTGTGGGCGTGTCTTCCCTACAGACTATCATCTAGATTTTGGTCAGTAGATGGCGCAATTACATCATCAAAAATTCTTGTCAGGGGTTCATTTACCTTTTTGTATAATGGGTTAACTGAAATTCGTAATGCGTTTGACATCAACTTGATTACCTTTTATGGATAACCGTACATCAAAGACATGTCACTTCAAAGCGTTTTTCCAGTCTTAGTGTCTGTTTTTTTGTGTCATAAAATTTGAATTTGACTAGAGTTGAGCGGACACCTGGATGTTCGGGTCCGGCGGGAGACCCGAACTTTTGGCCACAAAAATGCCTCTAAAAAAATCCTGGAAAGGGCTAGAGGGACAAGTGCTCTGCAAACAAATGTGGATAGGGAAATCACTTAAAATAACATAAAATACGTAAAAATTAAAAATACAGCAGAGCCATAAATTAGCACTAGATGGAATCTTTGATTTTAGCTTTGGAAGAACATAAATCAAAATCTAAAGCATGGCTGTCAGGAGGATCACCATAATTATCCATTTGAGAGAGGGTTGGATTGCAGGGTATTCTCTTTCATTGTTCAAACTAAGCTCAACTCCTGATGCATGGAGAAAAGGCCTTCACAAGCCTCTGCTATTGTGTACATAGTTTATAATAAGTGACCCATAGGTTGAGGAGGCGGTGACCGTGGTGGCGTAGGTGGAAGCGGCAGTGGAGGAGGAGGATTTAGTCAACACTGTTTATATATATCTATATTTTTTTTAATTGGGGTAGCCCCCAAAATATTGGGACATATAAAAACAGAAACATTTGTGGCCTGCAGTGCATTTCTTGCAGTCCTGATGCATGGATAAATGCTCAACTCCTGATGCATGGAGAAAATGCCTTCACTATGTATTGTGAACATAGTTTATACTAAGTGACCCATAGGTTGAGGAGGCGGTGACCGTGGCGGTGTAGGTGGAAGCAGTGGTGGAGGAGGATGAGGTAGCCAACACTGATTTTTTTATATATATATATATACATATACACACTATGTAGCACTCAGGCTGAACTCAATTGTGCAAATGCCGGGTGCCAGTCCTGGGGTTTGTTAATTCAAAACAGATAAACATATGGGCTGCACTCACGGTCTTTCTTGTATGAAGTTTTTTATTCCATATAGTAAACGAGCAGATCAACGTTTCGGTCCTCTCTGGGACTTTCTCAAGATCAAATGGCATAACTATAATGTGCAAACAGCAAAACATATATACCCACACCAATTGGAAAACTAATTGGAAAAGTGACTTACCCAGGTGAAGTGAATTGTGAAAAGTTCCTTGCACTTTTTCTAAATTTATTACCCTTTATTAATTCACTAAGCACTTTTCAGCTTAATTATATCTATAAGCAACTTACTATAGCATTGGCACTTTAATAATTACATTACATTACATTAATAGCCTAAGCACCTTTCTTCATAATGAATGCGGCGGCGAGGCTCATCTTCCTGTCCGCCCGCACCTCCCATGCCTCACACTTCTGTCAATTGACATATATGGAATAAAGAACTTCATACAAGAAAGACTGTGAGTGCAGCCCATGTGTTTATCTATATATATATATATATATATATATATATATATATTTAATTGGGGTAGCCCCCAAAAAATTGGGACATCTAATAATATTGTTCCGCAGATCGACTGACCTGTGCGTGCTGCAGCTGAAACTCCATTTTCGCCTGCTGCTGCTCGCACAGTCTCATGAGGCGGAAGCCGAAGTTACGCTGCAGCGCAGACAGGCAAGCAGCAGCAGGAGGTGAGGAGGAAGTGCGCAAGGAGGTGTAACGGCGCCTGGCATATTACCGAGAGCCACCCTTGGAGGTGCAAGCCTATGTCCTTGCCAATAAACAGAGGGCGACCTCCATGAACCCAGATGAAGGAAGAAGGGAGTAGAGGGCGCCTGGAAGCACAACCACGCTGGCCCACAAACTACCATACAATGCCTTCAAAGACTTCAAGGAAGCAGAAGAAGGCATTGATTACTTTTTACAAGACTTTGAGCGCCAGTGCCTACTCCAAGACGTGGACCCCAGCGACTGGGTCACCATCCTGGCCAGCAAACTAGTGGGGAAGGCAGCAGATATTTACCGGGCTGTACCAGAAGAGCAGATCAGAGACTATCCCTTTATTACCCAAATCCTCCTGGCCCGGTATGTGGTCACCCCCAAGCAATACCGCCGAAAGTTTAGGGAGACCCGTAAAGGGGAGATGGACTCCCATGCAGAGTGGGCATGACGCATCACAAGGGCCACCCAGAACTGGTTCAACTCCCATCAAGCCAAGTTCCCGGAGGAGATCACCCTACTCGTCATGCTTGAGCACTTTTTCAATGGGCTCCCCAATGACAAGGCGACGACGCATTCGTATGTCATCCATATCAACTTTCGATGCCATTTACTGCGCCTACCATGGTGACCACGGGTAACGGGGAATCAGGGTTTTATTCCTGAGAGAGAGCCTCAGAAATGGCTACCACATGCAAGGAAGGCAGCAGGTGCGCAAATGACACGTTCCTGACGCGGAAAGGTAGTGACGTCAAATAACAATACAGGACTCTTTAGAGGCCCTGTAATTGTAATGAGTCCACTTGAAATCCTTTAACTCTGATCAATTGGAGGGCAAGTCTGGTGCAGAGCGACTGACCCGTACGTGCTGCAGCTGAAACTCCACTATCGCCTGCTGCTGCTCGCACAGTCTCTCCAGCATGTGCAAGGTGGAACTCCACCTTATGGGCACGTCGCATATGAGGCGGTGAGCAGGAAGGCCAAAGTTACGTTGCAGTGCAGACCGGCGAGCAGCAGCACGGTAAGAACGCCGAAAGTGCGCACAGCCACTACAGTGAATGTCACATCCTGTTCCAAGTTGTGGATCAGTCTGGTGATGGCTTCTGGTATCGAGTACTCTTTTTACTGAAGTTGCATCAGGGTCCTGGTATGTAGCCGCACAAACGCTGGTGCTCAACACCAGGTGGCGTGCAGTTCCCAGACCCTGCTAATCCATTCCACACTGTGACTCCTAACTTCAACATCAGGCATACTGGGTCCCAGTCGTCCAACCACCGCCCAGACAGTGTCTGGGTCCCGGTCACCCGACTGCCCTCCTGACTGTAAAACTGCGAATGGCTCGGTAAATCTGTTATTGTTCCTTTTATCGCTCCATCTGTTACTTGGATGACTGTGGGAGTTCTAAAGATAATATATGCAGACGAGCGCTAAGGGATGGCCACTCCGCTTTTGCACCCTGCTCCCCTTTTATGCTGTGCTGGTGCCTCTGTGCGAACAGCGCCTCTTCCTCCAAACTGCACACATCACTCGCATGACCTTGATTCCATGTGGGTCTAGGACCTCATCATCCTCCACATCATCTTCCACCCACTCCTTTTCCCTGCCAACCTTGCCGGTCTGCGCACTGCAGAAAGCCACAGCAGTTGGCACCTGTGTTTTTCCAGCATGTAAAGTCTGCAAAGGACATAAATTGTTTTAGAATTGTATCCAGGCAACAGTTTTCCCTATAAACTGACCTCTCAGTTTGACTTGTGAGGGTATTGCCCCTGAATTACAATATTGTTATATTGGTATTTGACGGTTCTATTTGACTGTCAGATATGAAGTGCAGGCCGCAAATGTACTATTTAGCACCCCAAAAAATTTGAATTGGTCAAACTGCGCTGTAACCACAGTATTTGATGCTTCTATTTGACTCTCAGATATGAATTGCACGCCCAAAATGTACTATTTAGCAGTTTGGCAGCAAAACAATTAGAATGTTTACAACTGCGCTGTAAGCGCACTATTTAACCCCTTAAGGACGGAGCCAAATGTACACAGTGTGAACGAAACAAAATGTAAACAAAACCTGGCATTTGCGCTACATGTCTGTCCAACCGTAATACACCTCTTTCATAGTAAATGCACCCACCCTTATTATATATCATTTTATTCAGGGGAAACAGGGCTTTCATTTAATATCAAATATTTAGCTATGAAACATAATTTAATATGAAAAAAATGGGAGAAAATAAGATTTTTTTTGATTTTTTTAGTTCTACATGACATTTTAACGGTCAGTGTCATAATACTGTTTGCTTTTACTGCAATAAAATACACATATTTGTATTCAGCAAAGTCTCACGTGTAAAACAGTACCCCCTATGTACAGGTTTTATGGCGTTTTGGGAAGTTACAGGGTCAAATATAGCACGTTACATTTGAAATTGAAATTCGCCAGATTGGTTACGTTGCCTTTGAGACTGTATAGTAGCCCGGGAATGAAATTTACACCCATAATGGCATACCATTTGCAATAGTAGACAACCCAAGGTATTGCAAATGGGGTATGTCCAGTCTTTTTTAGTAGCCATTTGGTCACAAACACTGGCCAAAGTTAGCGTTAGTATCTGTTTGTGTGAAAAATGCAAAAAAACGCCAATTTTGGCCAGTGTTTGTGACTAAGTGGCTACTAAAAAAGACTGGACATACCCTGTTTGCAATACCTTGGGTTGTCTACTATTGCAAATGGTATGCCATCATAGGGGTAATTTTCATTCTTGGGCTACCATAGGGTCTCAAAGGCAACGTAACCAATCTGGCGAATTTTAATGTGAAAAAAATGAAACACAAGCCTTATATTTGACGCTGTAACTTTTGAAAACACCATAAAACCTGTACATGAGGGGTACTGTTGTACTCGGGAGACTTCGCTGAACACAAATATTTGTGTTTCAAAACAGTAAAAAGTATTGCAGCAATAATATCATCCGTGTAAGTGCTGTTTGTGCGTGAAAAATGCAAAAAACTTCACTTTTACTGGCGATATCATTGTTGTAATACATTTTACTGTTTTGAAACACTAATATTTGTGTTCAGCGAAGTCTCCCGAGTAAAACAGTACCCCCAATTTACAGGTTTTATGGTGTCTTGGAAAGTTATAGGGTTAAATATAGTGCTAGCAAATTAAATTCCCTATACTTTCGGCATGGGTTGTCAGGCAGGTCCCGCTAATTGTAATTAATTAGGATACCTAATTATGTAAAAATATTACATAAATATATGTGTAGAATTAATATATGTATATATATACATATGTGTATATATACATATATATATATATTTTTAAAATATTTTTATTTATATATAGGTGTATATATTTAGTGATATATATGTATATATTTATGTATATAGATATATATATTATTTCGTTCTACGTGTATTTTGATATAAATATATATATATTAATATCACAATACAGTTAGAACGAAATAACAAACATCTATATAATTTTTTATTATTTATTTTTAATTATTTTTGTAATTTTATTTTTTTTACGTATTTACATTTTTTTATATTATATATAAATATATATATATAACAATAATTATATATATATATATTTAATCAGTATTAGTCTACGTGTAATTTGATAGTAATATATATATAAATAATTATATATATTAATATTTAAATACACTTCGTGTATGTGTAAATGTGTGTGTGTGTGTGTGTATATATATATATATATATATATATATATAATATATATGATCTAAGTATATTTTATATTTAACTGTAATTTTTTTTTTTTTTACTAATATTTTATTTATTTTTACAGGACAGGGGGCAGAGACAGTGTCAGCCAGTGATTTTACATCACTGGCTGACACACAGGATCAGTGATCACAGTGACTGCCTGTCACTGTGATCACCTCCTGCAGATTGGGTAATTGGCCACAGGGGGGAGTGCCTGGGTGGTACAAGCACTCCCCCCTTCCAATCTGCAGGGGGATCTGTGTGCCAGTTACATGTGTCAGCCAATAGGCTGACACATGTAACACTGATCGCAGTGACAGGCTGTCACTGCGATCAGAGCGCTCTGAGATCGCAGTGACAGCCTGTCACTGCGATCTCAGACAGTGCAGATCGCGGTCACTGACCCCAGGGGGACTGCCTGGGGGGCCAGGTAAGTCCCCCGACCGCGATCTGCACGGGGTAGCCGCTGGCCACGTGTGTCAGCCGATTTGAAATCGGCTGACACACGTTAAAAACTGATCGCAGTGACAGCCTGTCACTGCGATCAGTGACTGCAGATCGCGGTCACCGGCCACAGGGGGGGTTGCCTGGGGGGCCGGGCATCCCCCCCGACCGCGATCTGCAGCGGGCGAATAGCGCCGGCCACGTGGGCGGCCATTAAAGTGAGGGCGTACTATTACGCCCGCCGGCGTTTAGAGCCGGCTTCTGCAGGGCGTAATAGTACGCCCTGCGGATTTAAGGGGTTAAAGCTTCTATTTGACTCTCAGATATGAAGAGCATGCCCAAAATGTACTATTTAGCAGATTAGCAGCAAAACAATTAGAATTTTTACAACTGCGCTGTAAGCGCACTATTTGACGCTTCTATTTGACTCTCAGATATGAAGTGCACCCCACTAAAATACTATTTAGCAGTTTAGCACCAAAACAATTAGAATGTTTACAATTGCGCTGTAAGCGCACTATCTGATGTTTCTATTTGACTCTCAGATATGAAGTGCAGGCCGCAAATGTACTATTTAGCAGTTTAGCACCAAAACAATTAGAATGTTTACAACTGTGCTGTAAGCGCACTATTTGATGCTTCTATTTGACTCTCAGATATGAAGTGCACCCCACCAATGTACTAGTTTGCAGAATTCTTTCCTAAGCTGTCCCTCACAGATGCAGCATCCTCTCCCTACACTAATAAGACCTCATGTGCGTGCGGCGCTACACGACTCCAGCTTATATATAGAGCCTGGGTCACATGCTGCACTGGCCAATCACAGCCATACCATTAGTAGGCATCGCTGTGATGGCTTCTATTGGCACACGAGTCAAACGCTTGCTGATTGGCTGCCCTGCAGCCTTTCAAAACGCACCATTAAATCACTGAAAACCAAACTCCAACCCGAACATACACTGATATGTCCGTGGCCAAAAAATTAACAGTCCGAGTTCGCTCAACTCTAATCACTACTTTCTTTGTTTAAGACCTTTCTGGGCTCCTCACAGGCCTGGTCAAGTGTACTGTAACATAATGTTGGTCATAATTATGTCTGTTCTATGGTTATATGGACATATTCACAGCCCTCATCTAAATGTAATTTTTACACTTCAAATCAATACATGCCACAAACTAGGTATCACTAATAACATACTACATTGCAATCGGTCTACACAATTACCACCAACATTCATTAAACCCCATTTTATTGTATCATTATGCACCTGTAACTTCTCATTAGGACCTCATTTGGCCACCCTGCATCTAGGTATAGATATGTTGAGCCCTCATTTGGTCTTTACTATCAAAGGAAAGTGAAGTGAAAGTGTGCTAAACAGTGTGAAAACAATATGTATACTTATCAAGAGAGTGGTAACTGCATTTATGGAGAAAAAGAAAATAAATAAATACAAATGCACAACCTTTCATGCAAAAAAAAAAAGTAAGTGAAATTAAGTCCCCATTTTATTTATTTATAAAATAT